CGATTATCTGAGTTCATGTGTGTAGCAGACTATTTATCAAACTTTGTTGTTTTTGTAGGTATCGTGTTCTTCCCGTTGTTAAGCAAAGACTTTGTCGAAGGCCTTCTCCAGGTTTTCTTTGGAAGAATCAGCTTCGTGAATATAATTTAGACTTCGATGGCCGTGTACCCTATTTTCAAATGCATTAGCCGCACCCTTCTTGTTCTAAACGAGAGCAGACCCAGGCGTGCCGCTGCAGAGCGGAAGGGGTGCGGCTTATACACCTGAAAATAGGGTATATATCAACGAACCTGGGGCTAAAATCTACCTTGAGAGTAATGTCGAGGTAAATTCCAAGTCAGTGTTAAGTTAGTTTTTATTCACAAACAAACATATCTTGTTCGTTATGAGTATGGGTTTAAGTCTCAAAGCAAGTTTTCACTCTCAAATATATAGAGGTATACGGCCACAGAAGCAAACACGCTTATGATATTGATATTGTGTCATGACAAATCACACATATTGCAAATTGACGATTTTTTCGGAAAGTCTCTTCAGCAACACTTCTAAATCGAACCCGTTTATGAATCGCAACTTTTCTCTTGCGCTACGCAAAAGAACGATGCAATATAATTATTTCACAATTGTTATCACATTAAAGACAATTTCACAATTCTTCTTCTTTTCTTTCTGATATTGCACAGCTGAAACAAAATTCAGGAGTCATTTCCAAAAGCTGACAAATTTGGAATTCGAAAGTCAAGAGTTTCCTTGAGTGTTTAACAAAAATAATTTATCTTTTATCTCTGTGCTTAGGTCCCTGTCCTCCCTATAAGATGAGACTATCGAACTAAAAATTTTTTACCTTAGCTTATTCTTCATTATCTTTTTTGAAGGACTTGGAGGTCATCAGTTTGCTGGATACGGGCGTTATCATCCTTGCAGTCTGCGGCGGTGTAGTTGCTTCTGGCAGTTCCGGTTGCGGTAACATCATTCGCTTCTCTCTGGAGACCTTCCGTACAGTCTTACGACGCATTGGCTTTATTGATACTGTAGCACCGGTAATCCTCACTCCGGTATCAGCAACACGTGTGCCGGTACTAAATCCATCGGCGCTTGAAGCCGACTTAACAGATGATTGGCCGACTATCATCATATCAGAACTTGCGGGCCCAGTTTGTGAGGTCATGTGAGACTGCGGACCAGGAGTTGAGACGAAGCCTGGAGATGCTGAGATCGGCTGTATTCCGGATTGGGGTAACTGTGTTGGAAGCTGCTTTTGCGCGGCTGCCGCTTGGTCCGAAGTAGCTGAAAGTGGTGTGGTACCATGTTTCCGCTTTCCTGTAGCATCTTAGGCGGTGACTTGCCTGTATGTAGGGCAAGGCTTTCGCTTGTGGTTTCTGGGAGACGGCCCTGAGATGTATGCAAAATATGCAGGAAAATCAACCTTTTGAGAAAGCTTACTGCTTTTTCTCTGTCAGGTGCGTCCAATGTGGGTATGTGTCTTGCTGAAAACACGGAATTTGGCTCCTCCAAAGGGTCATACGGCTTACATATTGAAATCGAAAAAACTCTTATGCTTGTGCATGCCGAAGGAATGCGGAGATTTGTTGAAAGATTTTTCTCTCCCTCTTTTCTTTCTTTCTTTCTCTCTCTCTCTCTC